CTTGCTTGCTGACAGAGAAAAGGACTTAAAATGCTTACTGATGACGATCAAAGACCACAGCCTTCAGCATTAGTTGCACCTCATTGTAACGAAAACATAAATCCACACAACGGAACCAATAAATAACATCATGAAAACTGGAGAAAAGACTGAAGTTGTCAAAAGACTTCATTTTGCTCTGAGCAACCATCAACACTCAAGGAAACAGCTGGCAAGAATTGAAACAACATATTGCATTAGGCAAATCTGCTGCGCAAGACCTCTTTCAAGTGTTGAAGAATAAAAATATTAGTTTGAGGATTAAGGTGTGCCTGACCCAAGCCATGGTATTTTCAATACCCTCAAATGCATGTGAAAGTTGGACAATGAATAAGAAAGACCACAGGAGAGTTGATACATTTAAGTTATGGTGTTGGAGAAGAATATTAAAGGTACCATGAACTGCCAGAAGAACAAACAAATCTGTCTTGGAAGAAGTACAACCAGAATGCTCCTTAGAAGCTAAGATGATCAGATTTCATCTCCCATACTTTGGACATATTATCAGCAAGGACCAGTTCCTCAAAGACATCATGCTTAGTAAAGTGGAGGGACAATGAAAAAGAGGAAGACCCCCAATGAAGTGGATTGTCACAGTGGCAGCAACAATGGGTTCAAGTGTAGTAGCAATAGAGAGGCTGGTGCAAGACCAGGCAGTGTTTCATTCTGTTGTACATAGGGTTGCTACGAGTCATAACCAACTCCACTGTACTTAGCAGAAACACCATTGGGATCCTGGTGTGGTGCTATAGGATAAACAGTGGGTGGTGGTTCAAACCCATCAGCTGCTCCTTGAGAACCAGTGCAGGGTCATTATGAGTCAAAACTGACTTGACTATGAGTCAGAACTTAACATAAAAGTCTTGGTTCAAACCCACCAGGCAATCCTTGGAAACCCTATACAGGGTGCCTGAGTCAGAACCAACTTGATGACACTTAATTACAAAAACAACATAGGAATCCTGGAGTCCTGGTGTAGTACTGTAGGACAAGCACTGAACTTCTAACTGCAAGGCTAGTAGTTCAAACCTACCAGCACTCTTCAGAAACCTTTATAGTGTTGCTATGAGTTGGAACTGATTTGCCAGCACTTAACAATAACCACTCCCACCTGAATTTAGAGATCATCTGAAGAACAGATTTGAAACATTAAACACTAAAGACTGAAGACCAGAAGAGTTGTGGGATGACATCAAGAACATCATAC